GGAACAGCTGGTAGTTTCGAACTGCTGACCTTAAGGTTTGCAGCCTGATTCGCAATCACTACGCTTCCAGAGCTCCTTGAGTGTTAATAGTACATCCAAGCAAAATGGAGTCTCTGACAACTTCAATCTTTTCTCCATTTGTGATGATGTTAATTATTGGTTCTGTGGTGAGAATTTTTGTTTTCTTTACATTAAGGTGCAACCCATATTGAAGGCTGTGGTGGGGTTTTTTAATCTGTATCTGTATGTGGAGCCCTCTTTGCTTTCAGCAAGCAAGATTGTATCATCTGCATATCAAAGATTGTTACTGACTCTTCCTCCAATCCTAATATCATGTTCTTCTTCATATGACTCAGCTTCTTGGATTATTGTCTCAGCATACAGATTGAATCGGTATGGCGAAAGAATATAACCCTAGTGCATACATTTCCCAATTTTAAACCATTCAGTATTTTATCATTCTGTTTGAACAACTGCCTCTGGTCTATAGACAGGTTCCTCATGAGTACAACTAAGTGTTCTGGAATATTGTTGTTGTTGTTGTTAAGTACTGTGGAGTCGGCTCTGACTCATAGTGACCCTGCACAGGGTTTCTGAGGCTGTAAATCTTTACGGAAGCAGAACGCCTCATCTTTCTCCTGCGGAACCGCTGGTAGTTTCGAACTGCTGACCTTGAGGCTGTTAGCCCGACTCGTAACCACTACACTACCAGAGCTCCTTTCTGGAATATTAATTCTCCAAAATGTTATCCATGGATTATCAAAATGCACACAGTTGAAAGCCTTTGTATAGGTAAACCTCTTTCTGGTATTCTCTGCTTTCATCCAAGATCCATCTGAAGTTAGAAATGATACCCCTCATTTCAGGTCTTTATGTGAATCTACTTTGAACCTCTGGATGTTCCCTGCCCATGTACTGTTGCAGCTGCTTTTGAATTATCTTTCATAAAAAATTGTCTTTAGCAAAAAAAAAAAAAACAACAACAACAAAAAAAAACATTTCTCTTATAAATGGGAATTTTCTTGACAAGAGAAAGTTATACCATCAGTGTTTAAGGAGTCCATGCCAGTTAAAATTCCTCTTCATCTCCTCAGGGAATGTGAGAAAAAGACAGCCTTCTACTCCAAGAAGGAAGATGTGATATGGTTGGATTTAAATCCATCATTTCTAGATCCAATAGTGGTTCACTCAAAATTTTGTCTATACAATGTACTGGCTCTTAGAACTAACTGTTGGCTATTAAACTGTCATAAGGAGAGAAATTGATAATTAGCATTTAGAAATCTTCTATTAAATATTGTGGTGGTATTAAGCACGTGATCAGCAGACTTTTCTCGTTGACTTTAGACCATATTGAGGACTGTTGAACACTCCCATGAGGAGTCCATGGAGTACAAGTTACATACTAACTTGTACTTATAGTAGTAGGAGGAGGAGGAGTAGAGATTGGTCTGGCATGACTGAAAAATAATCCTTCACCACAGATGCTTTAAAATTGTTGTTAAGTGGCACCAACTAAGTTCTGACTCATAACAACATGGTGTAGGGTTTCTGAAGCTTTACATCTCTGGTTCAGCAGAAAGCCTCCATCTTTCTCTTACATAGCAGCTGGTGGGTTTGAACTACAGTCCTTGTGGTTTCTAGTCCAGTGCTTATTGCATGAAACCACTGTGCTCCCATACTTTAAGATGTTGTTTTGTTTAGAGGCTCAATAATAGCTGTGTAGGGTGTTAGAGGAATCTTTTTATTCCCTTCTAAAAGCAGTTGCTTAGCTAATTCCAATTTATGGTGGCCCATGTGCGTCAGAGTACAACTGTGCTCCATGGGGTTTTAATAAGTAAATCAGCAGGCCTTTCTTCTGAGGTGCCTTTGAATGAACTCAAATCTCTATCCATTTGTTTAGCAGCTAAGTGTCCTAATAGTTTACATTACCCAGGAACTCCTGCCTTGTTTATGTCCTTCAATTCTTTGGATGTCTTAAAGGACTCCTGACCCTAAGTCAGTCTTTCATGGATAAACTTGACCATCTATTTGTTTTATCTTCAACTCTCATAAACTAAAAATCTAGTTTTCTAAATATTCATACACTAAAAATTGGCATTGTGGACTAATGTGCTAGACTGCAAAGTTGGTTTGAACCACAAGGTCCGTGGTTCAAGCTCACCAGTTCTGATTCTACATCACTTAACCACAACAACATGGTAACAATCAAACAAAAAAGATGTTCATATTTACATGAGACCAAATAGCAAACTGCCTCAGGAAATATCAATATAAGCTATGTTTTCACAGGTAGCGCAAATAAGATTAGAATCATACTCAGAAGTATGATGACATTATGAATACCCCTTTCTCTGAAAACAATATGATACAATAGAGGGTTGATGTTAATTAAGGTCTTGGGATCCAATATTTGCTCTGAAACTAACTAGCTTGTTGCTATCAAGAAATTTCCAAAACTTCTGGAACCAAATCTCTTTCTTTTTGAAAGTAGCAACTTGAATCAGCTGATCTCAAAAGTCTCTGACATCTTTAACATTTCATAATCTTAGGGAAGTTATTTTCCCTTAAGGTAGCTTCCAGTGGAGGACTGAGTTTCCCATCTATGCATTGACTGCTCAAAGATAGATTGACCTCTTGCACATGTACTAAAGCAGCTCTTTATTATGAGTTTCTCCTCGTCAGACTCTAGGCTGAAATGAACTACAGTGAGGGATTGACCCTGAAATATAAGCCAGTTTTTGCCATGAGGACATGAGTTCTTCCAATTTGCAGATGTCTCCAGGGCTGAAGAGTAACTCACAAGGGCCTAATCACAACAATATGGGTCCAATAAAATATCAATTGCAGTGTAAGGTACTATTTATTGAATTGTTATTTATTTCACAAGACCTTCCTCAAGGGGCTCCTCAAATGCCTAACAATCCAAAATAAAGCCATCTGTCTGTCCTCCCCTAACTCATAAAGTCTATACTGCATTAACCCAGATCTTAAATAGAGTTAGGAGTTGAGTGAGGGCCCCATCCCCAAGCAATTGAGCATAAATTACCATGTTAGAGTTGATTCCCCAAGTACACCATTGATTGATACAGCTCAAATCACATTTTAAGCTTCTCTGCTCTCCTGAGATGATAGACCCGGGGCTTGCCAAGGAAACTATCCATTTTGTGATCAAGAGTGTTAACTTGGAAAGATCAATGGTTCGTATTATCTTTTTCAGCTTTGAAATAAATGAGAGAGCATTCATGCAAATGAAGACAAATTCAAAGGAAAAATTTGAAACAATAAGGCAATTACAGAGCAATATGGAAAATGTCTAATCATAGATCGCTATTGAAAGAACGGAAAATTTATATCTAGAAAAGTCGTTGTTGAGTGCCATCAAGTCAGTTTCAACCCACAGTGAACCTGTATAGGGTTTCCTAAGAGCGACTAGTGAGCTTGAACCACCAACCTTGTGGTTCAAATCGACTTTGCAGTCCAGCACATTAACCCACAGAGCTATGCCAGGACTCCAGTTAGGCAGTGTATTTTAGCAAAGAAAGATAATGAGGTAACACGGTTAATGTGGAATATATATTGAATAAATAAATATGGTTTATTGTTGAATCTATAAAAAACTTCAATAGTAAGAGAAAACATAAAATCATAGAACACTTTTAAATTATGCTGTCCTCATTATCTAAAATGTGATTGAAATTAAACATTGAATATATAGAGAGGGGGAGGGGAAGAGAGTCTGAGTGTGGTGCTGTAAGATAAGCACTGGACCACAAGGTCAGTATGAACTGCAAGGTCTAGTTGAAACTCATTAGCTGCTCCTTGGAAACCCTATACAGGGTTGCTATGAGTTGGAACCAACTCGAAGGTGCTTAACAACAACAACATATGTAGATTGATAGTGAGAAAGAGAGAGAGTCCTGGTGTGGTGCTGTGGGATTAAGCACTGGACCACAAGATTGGTTTGAACTGGTGAGTTAATAGATGTATAAGTATAATATATATAATAGACATATAAGTATAGTATGAAGAGTTTTCTGATCTGACTTATAATTTGAAAAGAGTTCTTATAGTCTAGATTTTCTTGAAAAGATAAGAATGAATGGCAGTTCTTTTGCAAATAAGGCAGAGTATTCCTGCAAGGAATCCTGGTTGCACAGTAGTCAGGTACTCAGCTACTAGCTGATAGGTTGACAGTTAAAACTCACTAGCTGTTCCCAAAAGATAGATGTGGCAGTCTGCTTCCTTAAACATTACAGCCTTGGAAACCCTATAGGGAAGTTCTACTCAGATTCCTATAGGAATCCACTCCACAGTTGTGGTTTTTGGTAAGCAAGTGATTTATCTCAAGCCTGTTCCCAGCAAGGAGTGCTAAAGCAGTTACTGAAATGTGCGGTGCAGAAACCAATAAAACAATGCTAAAGTTGAATGGTTGCCGAGAAATGTAGTAAATGAGTAGAATTCTGGAGTGAACTCTACACCCCTTAGTGCAGTGGACCAGGCCGCCTTGTTCTTAAATGGCCACAGTTCATTAGGTAAATGGTTGTTATTGCTACCAGTGAGCTTTCTTCCTTAAGTGAATTAGACAAAAGGACCTTGAGTCTATCTTATATCAATTGGGCAAAGTCTCCTTTTTATAAGTAATAGATTCCAAATACTTTCACATAGAGAAAAAATTATTCTCAACTACCAAAGGAAGCTCCAGGTCAATCAATATAGGTTTCCCATCTGCAGAGAAAGGATCTTCCCTACACTATTTGAACCATGGGTATTTTCAGTAGTTTAAGGACACATTTTGTTTCAGCACTCTTCTGCTTGTGGATATGCTTTCTTTCCCTGCAGAAATCAAAGATATCTACCTATGAGAAGATGTGGGCTTTTATGAGCAGCAGGCAGCAGACTGCTCTGGTAAAAAACAGTGATGAGGGGATCCAGCGAGTGCTCACCACTGACTACGCTCTACTGATGGAGTCTACCAGCATTGAGTATGTGACTCAAAGAAACTGCAACCTCACTCAGATCGGAGGACTCATTGACTCCAAAGGTTATGGAGTGGGAACACCTATCGGTAAGAAGAAGGAAATACTAGTTGGGGCACAGTCCCTAGGTGCTTCAAAGGTTAACATGCTTGGCTGCTAACAGAAAGGTCAGAAGTTCAAGGTCACCTAGGGGCACCTAGAAAGAGAAGTTTTGTGATATACTTCCAAGAACTCAGCCATTGAAAATCATAAGGAACATATGACAGTCATGGGGTCATAATGCATGGAAACCAACTTAATGGCAACTTGTTTGGTTTGAGATAAGTGATGTTGATTACAAAATGTGGAAAGGAATGGACTCAGAGTTCTCCACTCCACATACTGAAAGACCTTGTAGCATCTTTAGTGAACCAGTAAATGTAGGAAATGACCTTACAGATTTAAAGTCATAGTCTGAATTGAAGATTTCCAGATATTTAATCTAATAAATGTCAAGCCAGTGTGTTGTTTTGTTGTTGTTGTTGTTGTTTTTCTTTTTCAAGCTATAACTGCAGTGCGTATATGACAGTGTAGGATAATGCACTAGACCACAAGGTCGGTTTGAACCATAAATTCTTCAGTTCAAACTCACAAGCTGCTCCTCAGAAAACTTACAGAGGATCACTATGAGTCAGAACTGACACAATAACACTTAACAACAACAACAAATACCACTATATAAAGTGTATTTAGCTTTGTTTTATTCCAAATAAATATTTTTAAAAGAATATCCTCCTAATTACTCATTCTCTACAAATTTATCTTCAACACTTATAAATTCACTTATGATTTTACTACCTCACTTTATAGAATATGAAAAATAATTCTGTATATCGATGACAACATTTAGAGGCTTCATAGTCCATGTCAACAGATGAAAATCAACATTACATCTGTCAAAAGAAGAAAAGGGATAAAGATTAAATTACAATGTGTTCAGGCAATATGTTAGAGTCAATCAACAGTAACTACCTAAAACTTCAAAATAATCGCATTTGCTGGTCCTTTACCGATGCCCTCCCTAGGGATATTATTGCCTTATTGCACAGAGACCTACAGCACAAGGTCTTCTTGCTTGTCAGCAATTTTCAATTCAATATGTTGTTGTTGTTAGTTGCCACTCAGTCGGTACCAACTCATAGCAACCTTATGCACAGCAGAACGTAACACTGCCCAATCCTGGGCCAACCTCACTACTGTTGCCACGCTTGAGTCCATCGATGCTGCCACTTGGCCAATCCATGTCAGTGGGGTTCTTCCTCTTTTTCTCTGACCTTCCACCTTACTAAACATGACATCCTCCTCCAGGGACTGGTCCCTCCTGATAGTATGTCCAAAGTATGAGAGACAAATCTTGGCCATCCTGGGCCTCCAAGGAGCACTCTGGCTGCACTTCTTCCAAAACAGATCCATTGGTTCTTCTGGCACCACAACACCTTCAATAGTCTCCTCCAACACCATAACTCAAAAGCATCAATTCTTCTAGTCTTCTTTTTTCACTGTCCAGCTTTTGCATGCATATGAGGTTATTGAAAATACTATGGCTTCGGTGAGGGGCACCATAGTCCTCAAGGTGACATATTTGCTCTTCAACACTTTAAAAAGGCCTTGTGCAGCAGATTTGCCCAATGTAATACATCGTTTGATATCTTCACTACTGCTTCCATGAGTGTTGATAGTTGATCCAAGAAGAAAGAAGTCCTTGACAGCTTCAATCTTTTCTCCGTTGATAAGAATGTTGTTTATTGATCCAGTGGTGAGGATTTTTGTTTTCCTTATATTTAGTTGTAATCCATACTGAAGGCTGTGCTTTTTGATCTTTATCAGTAAATGTTTTAAGTCCTCTTCACTTTCAGCAAGCAAGGTTGTATCATCTGCATGTCACAGGTTGTTAATGAGTTTTCCTCCAATCCTGATGCCACATTTTTCTTCATAGAACCCAGCTTCTCAGATTACTTGCTCAGCATACACATTGAATAAGTATGGTGAAAGAATACAGCCTTGTCACACACCTTTTTAAATTTTAAACCATTCAGTGTTCCCATGTTCTGTTCGAACAACTGCTTCTTGGTCCAGGTACAGATTCCTCATGAGCACAATTAAGTGTTCCAGAATACTCATATTTCACAATGTTGTCCATAGCTTGTCATGACCCACACAACCTAAAGCCTTTGCATAGTCAATAAAGCACAGGTAAACATCTCTCTAATAGTCTCTGCTTTCAGCCAAAATCCATCAGACATCAGCAATGATATGCCTCATTCCTCAGCCTCTTCTGAATCTGGCTTGAACCTCGGGTCACATCTCTTTGGAACAGGCATAAATATGGATCTCTTCCAATCAGTCAGCCAGATAGTTGTCTTCCAAATTTCTTGGCAAAGATGAATGAATGCCCCTGTATCTCCTCACTTTCTTGAAAGATTTCAATTTTTAGTCCATCAATTCCTGGTGCCTTGTTCTTTGCCAGTTCCTTCAATGCATCTTGGACTTCCTCCTTCATACCTCTTGAAACAGTTGACTTTTGGTACAGTGACTTGTGTATTCCTTCCAGCTTCTCTTGATGCTTTCTCCATCATGCAATAATTTGCCCAGAGAATCTTTCAATAACAAAAGTCAAGGCTTGATTTTTTTTTAAGTTCCCCCAGCTTGAGAAATGCTGAGCATGTTCTTCCTTTTTGGTTTTCTGACCCCAGATCTTTGCACATTTTGTTGTAATATATGACTTTATCTTCTCAAGCTGATCTTTGAAATTTTCTCTTCAGCTTTTGGACTTCCTCATTACTTCCATTTGGTTTAGCATCTATACTGGAGAGCAATTTTCAGTGTCTCTTCTGACATCCATTTTGACCTTTTCCTTCTTTCTTGTCTTCTCAATGACTTTTTGCTTTCTTCATGTATGATGATCTTGATGTCGTCCCACAACTCTTCGGGTCTTCAGTCTTTAGTGTTTAAGGTAGCAAATCTGTTCTTCAGATGATCTCTAAATTTAGGTGGGATATATTCAAGGATATATTTTGGCTCTCATGGACTTGTTTTCATTTTCTTCAGCTTCAATTTGAATTTGCATATGAATAATTGATGGTCTGATCCACAGTCTGCCCCTGGCCTTGTTTTGACTGATGATGTGGAACTTTTCCATTGTCTGTTTCTGCAGATATAGTCAATTTGATTTCTATGTATTCCATCTGGTGAGGTCCACGTGTATAGTCATCTCTTATGCTGTCTAAAGAAGGTATTTGAAATGAACAAATCATTGGTTTTGCAGAAATCTATCATGCATTCTCCAGCATCATTTCTATCACCAAGGCCATATTTTCCAACTACTGATCCTTTCTCTTTGCTCCCAACCTTTACATTCCAATCACCAGTAATGATTAATACATCTTGATTGCATGTTTGATCTATTTTAGATTGAAGAAGTTGGTAGAGTTCTTCTAGTTCATCCACACTGGCTTTAGGTGCATAAACTTGAATAATAGTGGTATTAACTGGGCTTCCCTGTAGGCACATGGATATTATCCTATCACAGATAGCATTGTACCTCATGACTGATCTGGATATGTTCTTTTGACAGTGACTGTAACACCATTTCTCTTCAATTTGTCATTCCCTGCGTAGTAAACCGTATGGTCATCAGAATCAAAATGGCCAATACCAGTCCATTTCAGCTCACTAATGCCTAAGATACCGATGTTTATGCATTCCATTTCATTTTTGACAATTTCCAATTTTCCCAGATTCATACTTTATACGTTCCATGTTCTGATTTTCAGTGGATGTTTAGAGCTGTTTCTCTTCATTTTGAGTTGGGCCCCATCAGCAAATGAAGGTCCCGCAGTCTTTTCTCCAACAAATTTTTATTCCATTCGCGTCATCACGGTCAACTCTACTTTGAGGAGGCAGCTCTTCCCCCATCGCATTTTGAGTGACTTCCAACCTGAGGGGCTCATTTTCTGGCACTAAGGAGCTCTGGTAGCATAGTGGTTATGAATCGGGCTGTGAACTGCAAGGTCAGCAGTTCGAAACTATGAGCTCTTCCGTGGAAGAAAGATGAGGCTTTCTGCTCCTCTAAAGATTTACAGCCTCGAAACTCTGTACAGAGTCACTATAAGTTGGAACCAACTCCACAGCACATAACAACAACAACAACATATCTGACAGTGTTTCTCTGCTATTCATAAGGTTTTCAGTGACTAAATATTCGGAAGTAGTTCATCACTCCTTCTAGAAATATCTTATATTGGGTCTTTCTCTATAGAAAAGTTCTAATATGATGACAGTCTGATCTTCTCAAGTGAGATATTGATAATTAGTTATAAGCACTCCAAAATCCAAGTCAAATCTTCTGTTGTTGATTCGATTTTGACTCATTGAGACCCTACAGCAGAGAACAGAGCGGCTGCATAGGGTTTCTGGAAATTTAAATCTTTTTGAATGCAGACTGTGTTGTGTTTCTCCTGAGTAACTGCTGGTGGGATACCAGTCTTAACCCACTGCACTACCTGGGCTTCTTAAGCTGTCCAGAAGAGATGAATGAATTATGACCCATGCTACAACACTGAGCCAATTCAATGAGCAGAGACTTTTTTGCATCTAAACCACATAACTACAAAGCCAAAGTAGATTTGGTTTGTTTGATAGGCTGTTTGGTTTATATTATGATTTTTGTTGTTTGAAAGGATTATCCAGTTTGACCCTCAAAATTAAACAGGGATCAATAACTTATCATTTGATTTTGAAGACATTGTAATTGAGTAAAGTTTGTAGAAATGATGGAAATGGTGGCAACTATGGAGAATTAGAGATCATATAACTTATCTAAATGGGGTAGCTGCCACTCTAGTCACTCAATTGTAACCATGTGTGAATCTGGGCATAAGGCTGTCATATATTCTATTTAAAATCCAATTGCTGTTGAGCAGCACACAGCCGGCTCCCAGAGCAGACATTTCAGGCATCAGGGAGCTAGAGAAAGGTCAGAGAAACACTGACCACAGATTTCTGACTGTCATCAGAGAAAAAAGTGTGGGTTTTCTTTTTTATTATTACT